CGAGCAAGCCGAAGCCGCAAACAGAGTCATCCTCCGAGGACTCAAACGACGACTCGGCGAAGCCAAAAGAGGATGGGTCGAGGAGCTCCACAGCGTCTTGTGGGCATACCGCACCACACCCCACTCAACGACGGGTGAAACACCATTCCGACTGACCTACGGCACCGAAGCTGTCATCCCGGTCGAAATCATGGAACCATCCCGACGAACGGAGGAGCCCCTCGACGAAGAAATGAATGACGAAGCACTAAGGGATGAACTCGACCTTGTCGAGGAAATCCGATCGGGTGCAGCCCTGCGCGAAGCCACCCTAAAACAGCGAGTGGCTCTGCGCCACAACGACAAGGTCATCAAGCGCGAGTTCGAAATAGGCAGCCTGGTACTATGCAGGAACCATAAAGATTCCCGCGAAGGGAAGTTGGCCGCGAACTGGGAAGGACCTTACCGCGTCCACGGCACCACGGGTACCGGGGCGTACTACCTCGAGCAGTTAGACGGAGAGCCATTACCACGACCCTGGAATGCTGCTAAGCTAAAGCAGTACTACAGTTAAAAACTATCAACACCTGGGACCCTCGACCAGCAGCACCCGTGCTCGGTCAACGAGGAAAAACGTCCAATTTCGTATAAGGCTAAGGTACAAGCCCGACATACGACCAAAATGGCACAGTATCGCGCGGTAAACGATGACGATCGATAGTGCCCGACGTGGACAGCTATACCGAGCCCCACCGTCGTTGTACCCATAAGGCAGAACACCCAGCTCGCGATGGGCAGTTCACGCCAAGGGCGAATCGTCCCTAACGGGCTCCACACCCGACTGAGCAACTTCGCTCCGAAATGCCCGACATTCCATCGAGAATAACGGGCCATCTACAAGGGTCAAAAGAAAATCTCTCCCCTCGAGCACAACACTTAGGTGACTCTGGCCAATCGAAATAGGGCCGGGAACGCATACAAACAGAGGCGGGCAGACTCGCTCGCCAAATCAAAGCCACTTACGGGCACTCCTCGGGCCCGTGACTTAGGCTAAAAATTTATGCAAATATATGATTTCAAACAAGGGCAAAACATCCAAAATATAAAACAGCATTGATATAAATGCCCGAAGGCGACAAAACAATAATAAACCGACCAAGAAGGCCGGCGATGTTCATAACGTACAATAAACGGGCACGCAGGCCCAAAGAATACAAATATCAAGGGCGCGCAGGCCCGCTATCCTATTCAGACCTCCCCGGAATCATCATTGTCGGTGTTTGGAGAGTCGGGCGGAGGAACGATCACGCCATCCACGATCTGGTGTGTGTGGCCAATACCCTCAGTGACCAGGCCAGGGTTTAGCAAGGAGAGTTGACCGACCGCAGAGTTGAACCCGTCCTCCAAGGCACCGACGCAGTCTACCTCGAGGAGCCGGATGTGGACGACCAGCTCCACCTGACTCTTCAAAGCTACTATGTCCTCGGGCTCGTCCTCGGCAGGTTGCAGGGCAACATTCATTTCCTCGACCTGTTTGGCCAAGCGTTCGACTTCGGCCACCAGGCGATCCCTGTCTGCCCGAAGAAGCTCCCCTTCTTCGGTCAACTTCCCCGACTTCTCCTTCTCCAGGGTCAACATCTCCCTCTCAGCATCGAGCATCGCTGTCTGCTCTCGGAACATCCCCTCGGAGCGTTCCAGAGCGACCTTCAACTTCCGCGAGCTCGCGGTCAGGGCCGCCTTCTCCTGCTTGAGTTCTTCAACACGGGCAGAATCCCCTCCATCCTCGGATAGCACCAAAGCCATCTCGGCCATTTTTACCAGCCCATCCATGCTGGCGGCCAGATACGCCTTCCGTTCCTCTTTACTCATCTTTTTTATGGCCGCAGCTTCGTGGGAAACCACTGTCGTAGGGAATCGCTCGAAAAAGCCCGCCTCTTCGAAGCAAGGGGGGAAGGCGAAAGATTTAACAGCACTGGTGTCCTCGCCAACAGTCGGACCACCTTCCACACGGGTCCTCTTCCTCTGCATCAAAACGGCACTGGGGTCGATCTCCTCGACTTCTGGATCCGACGCGGGCCCCGAGCTTGACGGCGAGTCCACCCTCACCGACTGAGGAGCATTCGGACTGTGTGGTGGGCCCATCCTCGTCGCCTGTGGGGCCTTCACGACCCTCCTGCCTCGCCTCTGGTCGCAGGATAATTTCAAGAGCCTTTCATGTCGACTAGCCATCGTACCTGCACAAAAGAAAGGTTAGGTCAGTATCGAGCAAACTTCCTAAATAAATGACAAATAAAGAATTTCAAGCAACAAACAACCTAACAGGCGGGCCTCCCCATCCTCGTCGCTCACCGGCTCCTCCTCCTTGAAAAGGGAATTTAAAGCAGCGTCGGTAACTGGCCGTACCACGTACCACTTGTCTTTAAACCCCCTCACGGAGTCCATATACATCTTAAAGAGTCTCCTCGACTGCTTCAGGGAGACCCAACTATGTTTCCCTCCTCGGGACTGACGCTGCAGGTGAAATATCTGGAAGAAAAGCGGGATGGTCGCCCCGATCCTCAGGTAGCGACACGTCAACTCAAACGCCCGGATGAAGGCGAGAGAGTTCGGATGTAGCTGGGACGGGGCTAGCTCCAAGTGCGTAAAGACCCCGGCCTGGAAATCAGTGAAGGGCAGCCGCAGCCCTAGGTCTTTGAACGCGATCTCATACATCGCGAAGCTGTAATTCAGATAAACCGAGCAAATCCTTGCACGGGATGACGGGCGTATGACTACGAAGTTCTTCTGGAAGCCGGGCTGGTCTTGACCCTCTTCAATGACAGCGTATGGATGTCGGTCGTCCCGGCTGTAGACCGACGCTATCCCTCGGGGCTCGACGCCCACCCATTCCAGCAAAGGGTCAGTCACGGTATCAATCAGGGTGACCGACTCGTCGGCACTCTGTTCTTCACGGTCGCGGCGTCCGGAGGAGCTCGGCTCGTCCGCCATGGTTACCTGCAGAGCACGGGAAACCAGTCAGTTGAGCACGAAGCCATACGCTCGACAAATCACGTCGTCCCATGCACGACTACATAAGTCCGTTTCCACGAATGGTTGCCTCCCCGACATCCTGAACCCGGTGTTCTTCCGCAAACCAACTGCGCAGTCACTCCCCAAGCATGTCGACCCAGGGTATGAACATGGCGAGCCACACCATGAAGCCCACGGCCAAGACCATGAACATACCGGGCGCGATCATGAATCAGGCGCCCTGGATCATGAAGACCCCGGGCAGCTCTGAAGTTTATCACCTAAAACTATGAATGCGCCGGCCACAAACATGCGTTTGCCGGTCCTAAGCATGAATGTGTCAGGCTAAGCATGAGTTTACCGGGCTAATCCCACGCGCACGGCCCTAAAACATCTACAAACGCCAGAAATCATGCATTCTAAACAGAAAAATGAAGAAGATAGATCACTTACTTAGATCAAAGAGTGGGATTTGGCTACGGAATAGAAGAATCTGTGACGGAAAGTCGCAACTGGAGAAAATCTGGAAGAGCAGCAGCGGAGAGAGCACAGAGAGTAGAAACGTATTATGAGGGCCCAAGGTTCCTATTTATAGTGATGACGTGGAATACCAAACGTCACCTCGGGCAACCACAGACTCCATCTCCTCGACGCGCTGCTCCCAACGCAATGATGACCCTACCCTCATAGGGTGGCGACACAATTCCCGAAAGATACCTCGTGTGCTCGACAGACGCGCCCGGTGAGGATCCTCCGCGCATCCACCGCCGAAGATGTCTCCGAGCACGACACGAGGAGGCCCTCGAGGGCCCACACCTCTGTCCCGGGCACGAGACCTCAACGAGGGAATAACTTGGGTTCAAGTCATGGCTCCTCGCAAAGGAACCACGACTTGGGGGGCTCCTGTTCTGGACTGGGCCCGACAGGCCCAAAAGCATTGCTAAGGCCCAGTCCAAAGGGACTTACTGAGGGCCACGCCGACCAAAGGGTCACTGCCGTGCCCGACATCCTGATGTCCAGCTCGACATCCTGCTGTCCAGCTCCACGTCCTGATGTCCAGCTCGACATCTTGCCGTCCAGCTCCACGTCCTGATGTCCAGCTCGACACCCTGCTGTCCAGCTCGACATTGCCTCGAGCATCCCAACTAGGGCAGACTCAGTCCACTATTCCCCCAACGAGACTCCGGAAAGACCGCGTCTCCGTCCGCCCGCACTTCACGCAGAACATCCAGAAAGGGGACCACGTGCGGGTCCCCACTACCCACGTAGAACCTGGCAGTTCCTCCATTGGGCCAAACCTGCCCGGCCCAATGAAGGAACCTTGGCCCAGCGTTGGGGGCTATAAATACCCTCTGCTTCCAGAGGGTCAGGTATTCATCATTCTAACCTCAACTTGCTATTATCTGCTCGTACTCCTACTTACTTCAGCATCGGAGTGCCTTGCAGGTACCCCCCACCTCGTTCAAAAAAGCTTTCTGCTCGGAGCCAGCCGTGACGGTCCATTTCTGATCAGGTCAGATCACGTTTGCTTGCAGAGGAACTTATGTCCATTTAACGAAGGTGATGAAACTCAACCTCCACGTCATCTGTAACGCATTCACTTCTAATATTCGTTTATATAATATAATCAGAAAAGACTTACGTGTCACTATTTTAATAGATAAAATATCTATTTGAACGTTTTAAAAATTAAGGAACAATTTTTCCTAGTATTTTATTTAAGATGTAGAAATATAGGAGAAGAAAAACTTGTGACAAGGCGAGGCCAGCAATAGGCCACAACTTATCTCATAGCCGTGGGTCCCACTGAGTCTCTTCCTTTCCGGTTTGTACGAATGCCAATACTCAAGTTCACTTCCACCACCATCAGCAGCAGCACAGCACCCATAAAACCTCCCTTTTTCATTCACCACGCTTTTTTTATCCCACAATACAAGCGTGCGTTAATATCATGAACAAACCGTACTTTTAAGTTCAATTTCAATTTCAATTTCAATTTCAATTCAATTTCAATGGCGGTTATTTCCCTCTCTCTTCTTCCTCCTCATTCCTGCTTCTGTGCTGCCGGAATCCATTTACGTTCCCACAACAGCACCAGCAATTTCCTTTCGATTCATTCTCCTTCTCCTTTTCCTTCTACTTTCTCTAACTCTAATTCTAAATTCTCATCTAGAAGAAAACGATTTCACACTGTTTTTGCTTCTTCTTCTGATTATTATGCTACTCTCGGAGTTCCCAAATCCGCCACCGTCAAAGATATCAAAGCTGCTTATCGAAGGTTAGCTCGTCAGGTATCCAATTTTCATTCACCATGTTGAAATTGTTCTTAATTATGTTCCTCTATTGCATGAAATTGTAAATATTAATTATGTTCCTCTATTGCATGAAATTGTAAATATTAGGATCTCATTCATTTTGAAATTGGATTTATATGTCATTTTCTGTTTGTTTGATTTGTATGCAGTATCATCCTGATGTGAACAAAGAGCCTGGGGCAACTGATAAATTTAAAGAGATTAGTAATGCCTATGAGGTATGTATAGAATTTACACTTTACTCTGTTTCTTGTTGTTGTGTTGAGTTTTCTTTACTGGAAGAGTATGCATGTTCGAGTTCAATTTCATTTGCTAAAGTAATCTGCTGAAACTTTTATTGTGAATCATGGGATGTTTGATTTAGGCTTCCAATTGTTTTAGATTATATTTTTGACACTGGCTTCTGAATTCTGAATTCCAACACTGTCAGGTGCTATCAGATGACAAAAAGAGGGCTTTGTATGATCGATATGGTGAGGCAGGGGTTAAGAGCTCAGTGGGAGGAGGATCAAGTGCCTATGCGGTATTCAATATGATTTTTATGCTTGTTTGTTTAGTAAGATTATGGAGCCACCCACTTGAAAAAGTGATAAAAACTTGGTTGTCAGGAGAATAACCAGTTATTTACTGATGCTCCAATGACACATTGCCTTCTTTATGGGAAAAATTTGAAATGCATGTCAATTGAAGTTGTCTTTTACTATATTTATACCCATCTCTTACTGCTTCTGTAAGGTAGATTTAAATTAGTTATCTTTTTCTTACAGACAAATCCATTTGATTTATTTGAGACATTTTTTGGGTCAAATATGGGCGGCTTTGCTGGAATGGATCCAACTGGATTTGGCACACGGCGTCGTAGTACTGTTACAAAGGGTGAAGATATCCGGTGAGTTACACTGGATAAATAATTCCTTTCCTTCCAGCCATGTATGTCAAGTCAATGATTATTATATTCGCTACTTAATTTAAATGCCTAAAAAATATCTTATTCTAAATAGATTTGTTTTTTTTTTAATTAGTTAGACCCCAATAGACCTTGTTTGATAATGGTTCCTGTATCTAATCTCTCCTAGTTGAATAAAGCTTGGTCTTCAATGCCTATAAAAAAATTCAAGAAGGGAAAACCGAGGAAAATAAGTACATTATTAATCAACCATAATGGTTTTGAACTTTACCAATTTAGACCCTTATTTATATTATTAATCTAGGTCAAGTACAGTAGTACAGATAGCATAAGCTTTACTCCACGATACTTTTCCATAAGACACAAGGAACAGACCACAAATATAATAGAACACCAAAATTTAATGCTTTGGCTGGGGATGGTGGAAGCATCAGGAGAAATGATTCTGTGTGAACAATCAAGTGACACTCCAATTCTTCTGCATTGTATTTTAACATGGGGAAATTGTAAGCAATAACTTTCTCCAAATATCATCCAGTGACCTGACATCTTTTATATTTTGTATTGGCAGTTTTACACAAAAAATTACACCTGTACTTTCAAAGAGATTTTTCTGTAAATTGAGAAGACTTTTGATTCAAATATCAACAGGTATGATTTCTCCTTGGAGTTTTCTGAGGCAATTTTCGGAGCAGAGAAAGAATTCGAGCTTTCCCATTTAGAAACATGCGAAACCTGTACTGGTACTGGTGCAAAGTTAGGATCCAAGATGAGAGTATGTTCAACTTGTGGTGGCAGAGGTCAGGTGATGAGGACCGAACAAACACCTTTTGGGTTGTTCTCACAGGTAATTTGAGTTGTTTTCTTAATAGTTCTGGATATCATTTTCTCTTCCTCTTGATTTTGTAAGTTCTGCTAATGTGGAGAACAAGAACCGAGAATTCTTGACAATTGCTACTGGAACTTTGAGGTCTTCCTGCTGATATGACAACCTAGCATTGTTGTTAGAATCACGATTAGAATTGTGGAATCCATGGATTTTGCGATTTTGCTCACCCTAAACGATCTGAATTGTTAGTAGAATCCTAATTCAGAGCAAAATCCCAATAAAATCGCACAAAATCGCTAAATCGCAGCAAAATCCGCGATCTCATATGGATTCCACCGATTTTGGGTTTTTTTTGGGTAATTTTAGAATGGGTAAAGACGACCCGTTTCAGTTTTGTGACCCGGTTTAAACCATTTTTTTGGGGTAATTTTATGTTTGTTTTATGATTTTAAACTTTTGAGTACTTTTATATTTAAGATTTGAGACTTGGTTGTTTTATGATTTTAAACTTCGATATATATATTGAACCCATCGATTTTGGTTGCGATTTTCGATTATGCGATCGTGAATTCCCCTTTCGATTCAACAAAACGATTTCAGTAGAATCCCCCGATTTTGGTTGCGATTTACGATTTTTCGATCTTACTATCCTCTTTCGATTCAAATTAAACTCTCGATTCTGACAACTTTGCAACCTAGTTCTTCTCTGTATTTCTATGTTGTAACTGTTAATTGATTTCTACTGTGGTTGTTCATGACGAAGAATCCCATTTGCTGCATGAAATGACTGGAAGAGATCAGTAAACCACATACCTGTAACATATGGCAACAGTCCTCCAGCCAGAAAGAAAAAAAAAAGAAAAAAAAAAGGATAAAAGTAAATCTACCATTTATTGAACTTATTTTGATGAATCATTCTCTGAAATGCCGTTAAGGTTATTGTTGAGAATGTAATTACAACATAGATTGTAATTTGCAACATGAATACAAAGGTATTCCAATTAAGTTTCTACACTGGTTAAACATTCTGCATGCCCCTTTATAATTTTCCTTTAATTTTCATGAATTGTCTACCCTCCAAATCCAGGCTTAGTAGGAAAATGTTTTCATTGTTTTTTGCTGTTGTTGTCATCTTTATGTTTGACTTTTGGGAATAGTCATTTATCTTCATCTTCATTTTTGTGCAATTTTCTTACATAATATAAAAACATTGGTTATTCTCTGGTTGACAGTACTATGCTAATCGCTTTTCAATGTTAGGTTTCAGTATGTCCAAACTGTGGAGGTGATGGTGAAACCATATCTGAAAATTGCCGTAAATGCAGTGGTGCAGGACGCATACGGGTTAAGAAAAATATAAAAGTTAAAGTTCCTCCCGGGGTTAGCTCAGGCAGTATCTTAAGAGTCACTGGAGAGGGTGATGCTGGACCAAGAGGGTATGCTATTTTATATCTGGTTTTCTCATTGTGAAAGTATTCAGCCAATTATTGGATAGAAGAAGTTATACTATAAGTTGCGTGTGTATTGCTTTTATTGTATCTGTGTTACCACATGACATATATGTTTCCATCAGTTAGTAAAATTTTCTCACTGATGAACGAAGAAATACTTCTAAAAGGAAGGAAGGATATTACAAAGTAAAAGGATTAGTATTGATTCTCTTTAATGCGAACTCTTAGAATTTGAGCTTAAAGCCTAACTTAGCCCGACAAAAAATCAACCTCTAAGGTGAGGGCTGTCCAAACTTTACAAGCACAACCTAGGGTATATCTTTGTTGTTGTAGAACTCTCAGCACATCCTTTCACATTTATGACTAGCCGTGTTGTCGATGGCGGATGGTGGTCCATGGCAGAGAGCCGAAATCCTGCCATACCGGCCGCTTTGCGGCGCCGTTATTGCGGATTATGGCGGAAAACCCGCAATAGCGGCCGATATTTACCATTGCGGCGAGCTCAAAAACCGCCATGTATATCCGCCATAGCGGCCATGGCTGGGCAATTTGATAACACTGATGACTAGACAAACAAATTTATGGATTGAATACTAGGGATCTCAACATAAACAAACAAATTTGAGTAAAGCAAGGACATTCTTACGAAAGAGCATTACAATAATGAATAATTCAATTCCTCACCATCTTTAGAAAGGTCATCACAAGCCATGAAAAGTCCTGTAAGGCAAGTCCAGCTTTCCAGGGACAAATGTCTCATAAAAACACGAGCTTAGTTCTCCAACAAAAGACAACAGGGTAGCCTACAAAGAATGCTGCATAAGAAGCCTACTCAAAAAAAAAAAAATAGCTAATGGAAAATGTATGTCTTAAGCGTTTCACATCAGACAATACATGACTTGAGCATATACTTTTAAGTGGGGGCAATCCTCACCCTACAAGTCGGTTTTGTATGGCTGAATTAGGCCAACCACATTTATTAACATGGAATATTAGAGTATAGTTTAAGATCCGGTAGGCCATCTGTTATCAGGTTTCCGCTATCAGACCACCTACCATTTATTTTCACGCTCCATATCTTCAGTCTTGGGAGTGAGGTGTGTGTTAAGAGTCTCACATCAGACAATGCACGACTTGAACATATTCTTTTGGAGGCAGCCTCCCCCTACAAGCCGGTTTTGTATGGCTGAATTAGACCAACCACATTTATTAACATGGAATTAGAGTATGGTTTAAGATCCGATGGGCCACCTACCATTTATTTTCACGCTCTATATGTCCAGTCTTGGGAGTGAGGTGTATGTTAAGAGTTTCACAACGGACAATATATGGCTTGAAGATGTGCTTATAAGTGGGGGCTCTCACCCTACAAGTCAATTTTGTATGCTTGAGTTAGGCCAACCACATTTCTTAACAATATGTACAAGGATCAACACCCCATACGGAAATTATGCTTCTAATATATCTAATTAAGAGAAACGAAATTTGATTTGTTATAAAATTGTTGTTAACCTTTCTTACTGTTCTGCTCTTCAAATTTTATTATATCCTATTTGGAGTCATGGAAAAACTGATTGGACTCAAATATGTATCTACCTTGAGCATTTTAAAAAGGTCAAAGACATTGAGATAATAAAAGTTTTCAAAGGGTCTTTGTTAATTATTTTATCGATGCTAGAAAATCATTTTGTTACGTACCTTCTCACGTTCCTCCCCAACGGAGGGCTTAATAGTTGTTTGTCATTATCAAAATGGTTAAGTTATTCATGAATTCAAACTATATCAATTACTTGATTCAGAAGCTGCAATTGATCATCTTGTCATAGCAGGGGGCCTCCAGGAGATCTTTATGTATATCTTGATGTGCTTGAGATACCAGGAATTCAAAGAGATGACATTAATCTTCGCTCAACAATATCAATCACTTATCTAGATGCTATACTGGGGTCTGTAGTGAAGGTAAATTCACTTATATACTAATAGTATTCATGCAGGCTTGAGTAGTTATTGCATCTTTTTATAGCTAATAATGCTTTAGTCCTTTTAATTTCATTAAGGTTTTATTTTGGTCTGTTTTCACTTGCAGTAGCGTCTTTCATGTTGTTTTCTGTTATCCTTGAAACCTGACACTTGGCATGATGTGCCATAATGTTCTATTCATGTTTTCCCCCGACTAAATGTATTTTATGCAATAATAGCGGTATATTTGCCCATATGGTGGTAGCAGAATGATAATTATACTCCTAGCTTCTCTGGAAAATAGTAACAGAAAGGAATAAATTTTCAAACTATGACAACTAATCAAATGACTACTCACAAATATAAAAACGGAAACAAAGATTCTCATGATGATAATCTCGTTATTTGGATATTAATCTAATCCCTTTATATTTGGGATTTTACTTCAGAATCAAACGCTAACTTATGTTGGCCCTTGAATGTAACTATTTGGATAACACTTTGTTGTTCTGCTAGCTTTTTGTTTCCTTTCAAGCATCACATGAAAAAAAAAAAAAAAGTCAGACTGATTTGGCTGATGAGATTTTTCATGACTAAAACTGGAAACAGTCTGGCATTTTCATTTTATAAACATGTTTAGCCTTTTTTTTCTTCAAAATTGAGATTGTGTTTTATTGAATATTAAGATTTGATTTTTGCTGAATGTATATGTATTTTTTTAAACTCTTCTGTGTTTTGGGTGTCAACTCCGATGTGCCTTGTTACCTTGAGGCATTACAATCAACAGTTAACATTTTGTGGCACTTAAACAGGTAAAGACGGTTGAAGGCACTTCTGAACTACAAATCCCTTCTGGTACCCAACCTGGAGATGTCATCGTCCTTGCAAAGAAGGGTGTACCAAAATTAAACAGACCATCAATACGTGGTGACCACTTATTTACTGTTAAAGTTACAATACCAAAACGTATCAGGTAACATAGTCATTTTATAATTTTTTTTAAACTTTGTTTCTGTTACTCCCCATTGTGTTTTTTGGGGTCCATATCAGCAGTTTGATTTGAAGTGCCTGCCTCTACTTTGTATGTTCAGTTCAAAGGAGCGGGAGGTGCTTGAAGAACTTGCTTCTCTAGGTGACACAAGTAGTCATTCAAGATCCCGTCCTAGGACTCAACCTTCCAGTATGTGGTTTTTTTTATCATTTGTATATCTGTTGTTCTCTCTCCCCTATCCTACAATTTTAGGAGCATTTAGTTTGATGTCCTGAATCTTTCCTATAACATATGATCTATGGTTAGGTCTTCTAGACATATTGGACAGTGCCAATAGAGAATTGTTACTATGCAATAGTCGACTACATAGCTGAGTTATGAACCATGATGTTTACCTTTTGCAGCCGGAAGTAAGGCAGCTCCTGCAGCTCAAAGGGCCGAAAGTCCAACAGCAACAGTCACAGAAAAACCAGAGAAATCAGAAGAGCGAGAAGAACAAGATGATGACTTATGGAACAAACTAAAGAACGTGGCTGGGTAATAATGTTATTGTATTTTGTTTCCCCTTTTCTATAAAAATGTGTAGAGCCTTCAGTCTTCATTAATTGGAAACTATCTCTGACTTTAATCACTAATTATGCAGAGCATGACTCTTTTAAAGCATAAAATATCATTTTTAAAACTAAATAAACGACTCCTGACTATAGATTTAATTCTTTAAGCCATGCCATTTCCCTTAGGTACTTAAACCATGTCATTAAGTTGATACATCATAACTGAGATTTTCCATTGGGTATTTTGTTTCACTATTGAGTCCTCACTAATGGTTTGATTTGGAAATTATTGTTGAACAAGAATGGATATTATATGTAGTTCGTTTATTGTCATTTTATAGGATAAGGTGCCACTTTTGTTGTTAATTTCAGCCCTTCGATTAGGTTGAAAGTATCCTTATTCATCAAACCTTGGTAATTGTTTTGTGCATCTGATGAGTTGATTAAAACTTACCCCCATTGAAATTTGCAGATCTGTGGCAAATGGAGCTCTAAAGTGGTTTAAAGATAATCTCTAGTTCAATGGAATTAATAAGTGATCAACAGTCTCCAGAATATAGTTTATCTTATCTGGATTAGAGCTGTAATGATTCGAACAACTGTCGGCAGGGACTATGCAGACATTTTCTTCAAATGCTACAACTGAAAATTGTTAGAGTAAAGCAGCAAAATGAAATAAATGATGCATATTCTTTTATTTGTTGTACTTGTAAATTTTGGCACTAAGGCAGTTTATACAGAATAACGTTGGAGAATCTTCTGTACCCCTTAAGCAGGTTGCACTAGAGAAAGTTAGTGTATACCTCATATGAAGTCTAAGGTCCATTTCAGTGAATCACATAAAAAGAATAAAGTTATTACATAAGTGAAATTTAATTTCATAAACCCTTCTTCAAAATGTCAACCCTACAAGTTGAACTCATAAGGCATTTTGACCTCAAGTAGCTACTAGTCTGCATTTGAATCATAATCTACAGTTTATCTTGGTTCGAACGTAGTTTTATCTTTGGCTTGGTACACAGTTTGATCTTGAAAACATGAAATTTACTTAAACCAAAGCTGAGCTTATTTCTATTGCTTGTTTATTAATCCCTGGATGCTGAACTTTTGTCTTCCAAAATAACACGATTGAGATTCTCTTCACTTCTCACTTCATTTCTCAGAAGAAATAGATACAATAAAGTATGAATTTAAAAAATAAATAAATGATGTTGATTAGACTTACTTCAAAATAACATTTTTCCTAAATAAGATCCTAACTTCAAAATAACATCTTTCTAAAAAATATAGTACGAGTGCATACATGATTTTTTTGAAATTAAATGAGTATTAGATTTTTCCAGTTGGAAATGGATTATTGATGTAGTTTGGACAGAAATCATGCAAATCCAACATAGCAATAAACAAACAAATGATAATTACAGTGTTTTGATAAATAAACAATATGTCTATGGCTTGGAACGAAGACTTTGATTTATCAAAAGCAAAACAGAAAGAATCACAGGAGTAGAGATGATAACAAGAGCCAAGACAAGGTTTGGAGTAGTTATCTGAGGGAAAACACCGCTACCATATTTAATCACACCAGCTCCAGCAAAAGAACCCACCACTAGTTTTGCCACATACACTAAATCTTCCTATTTTACATCATTCAAACAAAAAGTACCATTAGTAGTTGCAGAAGAAACAAAAAAATAATAATAATAAATAAATAAAAGGTTCATTGATTTTACTTGAGATGAAGAAGTAGTAGGGTTTTGTTGGGCTCGAGGAACAACAACACTGGACAATCTCGTTATAGTTGTTGCAGGGAAGAGAAGTGATGTGTTTGGTGTAGTAACAACATTAACGTTTCGGCGGAAACAAGAAAACTTGCAATTGTTGTAACTGCTTCTAAGACCAACTATCTCTGAAACTGAAATTGCCATATCTATTCACAACCACAAACCAGAACATCACCAAAGGTAGCGGTTAAATGATAGATAATAAAATAAATAAATAAATTTCAGATACTATAATTACGAAAATGGACATAAACAGGTTAAGGTTAGTGAATTCAACCTACACCCTAAAGTTCAATGAGGCACCCCTCTTTAACTTGCTCCTCTAATAATTTACATATTCAAATTTTAATGTTTTTAGAATTTTTTTCTTCAAAAAAGTCAAATAAAAATAAAACTCTCGTGGTTATAACTAAATATTCAATAAAAATATGTAAATTTGAAAACAGAAAAGTTGAATTTTGTTCTACATTTCTATTGAATTTAAAATTTTTGTTCTACATTTATTTTATATTATAATAGACAGATATTTTCGTATCAGACAAAAATGTTATCATGCACATAATATATTGGGAGACAACATAGTATTATTGTGGTTAGCATTCATTTTGATACAACGAATTTGCTAAGAGATATGAGCGACAAACTGATTATTGATTGTGAGATGGGAGAAAATTACAAGAACAAAGGAAAGTAGAGAGTTACTTATAGTAAAAGAGTTGAATGTCCCTTTCGGTTCAGATCTATGTCAAGTGGTTGTGGTTGGAACATAAAGGTTAAATATGGTATTCACAACCATCGTCTAGTTGAGAATTTAGACAATCATGATATACTAGGTCATTTAAAACACAGAAAGGTAGTTTGTGAACAACATGACAAAGTACAACATGACACTAAGGTATATAATGAGCGCATTGAAATATATGAATATTGAGAATCTGACAAGTGTTTGGCCAGTATATAAGGCAAGATCTACATATCAGTATACTATTAGAGGTTCATTGACTGAAATGCAACATTTGTTGAACTTAATTCATAATGAGAAGTATTTGTGTTGGATAAAAAAAAAATAGAGGACTCAGATGTTATTGGTAATATATTTTAGACACATCATGATTCAGTGAAGCTTTTGAACACGTTTCATCTAATTTTGATCTTTATAAAATCAACAAGTATAAGCTAACACTACTTGAAATTGTTAGTGTTAGGTCATCAAAATTGACATTCTCTGTTGAATTTGCTTATTTGGAGCATGAAAAGGAGGTCAATTTCAGACGGGCACCCGAGAAGTTAAGGAGTTGTTCACATTTGAGAAGTTGTTTTCTAAGGTCATAGTGACTCATCGAAAATTTGCCTTGATTAATGTCATTGACGTTATTTTCCAATCCTCAATCCACCTCTTATGAGTTGTCCATGTTGCGAAAAATGTTGGTGCAAAGTGCAAAAAACATATGACACAACTATGAAATAAGATCATGTATGCAAATAAGGTGTTTGAGTATGAGTAATACTTGCAATATTTTGAGCTAGTATATTTTAATATGCATTTCTTTATTGATTATGTTAACCAAACATAGTTATTTTCATATAAGGATAGATTTGTTGCTGCATTGACTAACCAAGTGTCACCTTGGAAAATCTTAAGGAATTCAAGTACATGTGATAAATGAAAATATTCTCATAAGTTAAGAGTCATCCTCCAAAATAAGGGTTTTTTGGAAAACAGGAGCCAATGTGTGAAAAGTTGGTTTTATTAAGTCAGAGATAATGCTTGGAAGGAGCCACATTGAAACTGTCAAAAATTGAATTACGTCGACTAGGAAGAAATAAAAGAATACGTCAGGAGGATTAAATTGGTTTATTCGACCAAAAGAGTAAAAGAGAAGGACTTGGTCGAAGATGGTATTAGTTGACAAAGAAGGGTCTCTTGGACTTAGAGAAAGCGTGATTATTTTTTGCCAGAAAGAAAGCGTTGAAGCAAGGCAGAGGCAGTTTATGTTCAAGAAGCTTAGAGGAAACGTGGGCAGTTACTAACAACCCACAACGTGTTCAAGCGCCAAATAAGTGGAACTTCAAAATTATGAGCATTTACTAGCAATCCACGACGTGTTTAAGAGTCAAAGAGGTGGCAACATCTAGTGAAGCAGTTATCTCAAGATGTTAATATTAGCCATAGATTTTATCTAGGTAGTTACTTTGTAAACACTATAAATAGGCAGATTTTGTGTAGTTTGGGTGTGTTCACTTGTACTCTCAAATCACTTGTCAAACTCTCTCATTCCAAGCGCCAGGAAATGAAGAGTGAAGAGTGCTTGATGTACGTGAATCGCCATCTTTATTTCAATGCAAATATTTTATTTCGCAGTTATATCTTTTGAGTGGTTTATCTGTTTTCTCTTTACCGTCGAGCGAGATCTATATGTTATCTTCTATTTCGCATGAACAATTCGACACTATCTGTGGGTCACGAGTCACCTGTCAGTTAGTTTAGTGAGTCTTGTTTTTGTACGAATATCTTTTGTCGGTCACGAGTTACCAGTCAGTCGATTAAATCATAGTGTGGAAAACTATTGCACCCATTTCTCCAGTCAAAGGAAAGCCGTTTTCCTTGACTAATATTTTGACGGAATAGGTGTGATAGCAAAAACTCTTAGCACGCGTCTTGAGATTAACTGGTCGATCTCACAAGTTACCCTCAGTTTAGGACTCTGGGAGGACCAGCGTTTGTTTACCATTTTCCAAAGTAAACAAATTGGCACACCTGGTGGGACATTGGCTAATATTTCCCCATGCCAACCTGATGAAGAAGTTTATGCCAACCTTGATGAAGCATTTGTGTCATTGAAGTTACATGAAACCCATGATTTTATATGGGATGTGGAACCTTTCGAGGATCCATACTGTGTTAACCGGCCGACGGGCTGGGGAGATATCAGTGATGATGTCTGAGCTAGACGCTCTAAACAGGATTTCGGCATATATCGCTAAAAGTAAAATAAATTCGGTACTAGAAGCTGAAGAAATATGGCTGTCACAACTAATAAAACACAAGTTCTAAATGAAGGAACTACTTTGGCTATGGAGCCAAAGATACCAAATATACTAGAGATGGTCTAAGAAAACATCGATAAGCAGCGTCTAGACTGCATATATGAAGAAGAACCTTTAGGCTTCAAAAAGGATCCAATGGCACCCGAAAAGATGCAGCCATAAGATCCTTTAGAAGAAATAGATCTTGGCGAAAAAGGGTATAAAAGACCAACTTATATCAGCGCCAACATCGACTCAAAGTTGAAATATGAGGTAATATCTTTATTAAAATAATTTAAAGACTGTTTTGCTTGGGACTATAATGAAATGCCAAGTTTAAGCAGGGAATTGATAGAACTAAAATTACCAATAAAAGCTGGAAAGAAACCAGTAAAACAGACACGCAGACTTTTCGCTCCAGCCATAATGTCGAAAATCAAAAAGGAAGTATAAAGACTCCTCAAAAGCATATTCATAAGAACTGCAAGATATGTCGACTGGTTGGAAAACATTGTACCAGTAATTAAGAAAAATGGAAAATTAAGGGTATGCATAGATTTTAGAGATTTAAATGTTGCTACCCCAAAAGACGAGTATGCCCCTGTGGCAGAAATGTTGGTCGATTCGACCACTGGATTTGAATATCTAAGTATTCTTGATGGTTATAACCAAATTTTTATTGCAGATGAAGATGTGTCGAAGACGGCGTTTCTCTGCCCTGGGGCACTTGGAACCTATGAATGGGTTGTCATGCCATTCGGTTTAAAAAATGCCGGAGCGACATATCAAAGGGTAATGAATTATATGTTTCATGATTTTATTGAAGAGTTCATACAAGTTTACATTGATGATATTGTAATAAAATCAAACAGTAAACCCACTCATCTGCAACACCTTCGAAAGTCTTTCGAAAGGATGAGAAAACATGGATTAAAAATGAATCCATTAAAACGTGCTTTCTGTGTGCAGGCGGGTGACTTTCTTGGCTTTGTGGTGCATAAAAAAGGCATAGAAGTAAATCAAAGTAAGACCAAATCCAGCATGGACGTCAGACCACCGTCGACCAAAAAGGAACTTTAATCTTTGTTGGGCAAGATAAATTTCCTAAGGCGGTTCATATCCAACTTAAGTGGAAAAACCAAAGCATTTTCACCACTACTTCGACTAAAAAATGAAGATTTCGTTTGGCAAGAGGAGCACCAAGAGTCTTTCGACAAAATCAAAGACTACTTAGTAAAGCCTCCAATATTGGCACCTCCTGTTAGACATGTGCCTATGAGGTTATATATTGCAGCCTCAGATACGACTATAGGTAGTATGTTAGTCCAATAGGACGAAAAAGGTGTCGAGAGACTTGTGTATTATCTTAGTCGAATGCTAAATAATTTTGAGACTAGGTATAATGATATAGAAAAACTATGCCTTTGCTTGTACTTCTCTTGTATTAAACTAAAGCAATATATAAAGCCTGTTGATGTGTATGTATCTTCTCATTTCGATATTATTAAGCACATGTTATCCAAATCAATTTTACATAGTCGAATTGGTAAATGGGCTTTAGCATTAGCAGAGTATTCTCTGACTTACATGCCTTTAAAAGCAATGAAAGGACAAGTAGTGGCAGATTTTTTGGTCGACCATTCAATGGTTGGTATACCTCAAAATTATGTAGATTTAGTGCCATGGAAATTATACTTTGATGGTTCTAGCCATAAGAATGGAGTTGGAATAGGAGGAATTATAATTTCTCCCAGTGGAATTCCAGCAGAGTTCAAGTATAAAATCGACGGTATGTGCATAAATAATGAAGCAGAATACGAGTCCTTAATAATAGGACTTGAACTGCTGCTAGAGTTGGGGGAAAGGAATGTTGAAATTATGGGAGACTTTGAACTAGTGATTAAACAAGTATCGAAGGAGTACAAATGTGTTAAAGAAAATTTAATCATGTATTTTGTGATTACCATCCGATTACTAAAACAATTCGAGCAAGTAAGTATTCGACACATACCTCAAAGAGAGAACGAAAAGGCTAATGACTTAGCACAAGAAGCCTCAGGATACAAGAGAGATCAAAATGAAGAACTTACCCAAGTAAGAGAGAAAGTTCTAGAAAC